CCATGGTCGATGGTATCGAAAGCCGCTGAGAGGTCAAGGGGAGGTTGGAGACTGGACGATAATTGTTAAGAACGGCTGGATCCAAAGATGGTTTCTTCAGGAGGGGTCTCACCACCGCCGCTTTAAGTGCTGGGGGAAAGACCCCCTCCCGAGATGATACAAGAGATGATAAAATAATTAAAAGTAGGAGAGGTTCTAAATAAAGATGATTTTCTTTTAAACACTATAAAATATATGAAGAAGTAGTCCCAATAATAAACAGATTACAATACTTATAAAATTTATGAGGACAGTATCTACTTAATTTTGAAATCAAGCAAAGATGCTTTTAGGTGCAGCAATTATAGCCCTGTTTCATTAAATATGACTGTACACTTGAGGCACCTTTAGCTGCTGATTTACTTAGCACAGGTGGGTTTTGTTCTCAAGAGACAGAACAGTTCCTTTATACATTCTGGTAAACACTGCAAAAGCATGGCAGTGCCTTCCCTGTGCATGATTCTTTATCTGAGCCTAAAGAGTCTTTGATAAAACTGCATTGAGTATATGTGCACCAGGTTTATATGTGCACCAGGTTCTAGAGAATATGGGAAAGAGATAATTCAAGTTCATTCTCAGTGAGGAAAATTTACTGTGAGTAAATTACTCTCTCAGTGCAACCTATCTCAGAGGGCTGCTCTTGTCATGATAAAAGGGAGCATTCCAGGTAAGCTACCTTCAATTATTAGAAGTGAGCCAGGCTCTTAAATAAATAAATGGCCCTGCCCACTCATTCTATAAATTGCTTCAAAGTCTTGCATTGAGACTCTGAGACAGAAGCAATGGATTTCACAGTGGATTCCACTGTCAGCCATGGTAATCAAGAACTCAAAGTGGCTAATAAGAATAATGAACAGAGGATCTGTTGGACTTTGTCTTAAAAGAGATAATAAAAATTGCAAATCTTGATCTATGAGTGCAAATAAAATGTTACTTAGAAAACACCAGCCTTGTGTCTTCCCTTCCCTTGTGTTTTCTCTTTTCATCCCATCCCATTATCATTTGTCTCTTGTGTATTTGTGCTGTTTGTTCTTGTATGTGTACCTGAAATATATATTGTAAAATCAGTGCTAGCTGCTGATAACAAGTGCAGTTACTGTTGGTGATACAGCCGAAATAATTTTCTGTAGCTGGATATGGATTGGTAATGTTTCCCCCGTATTCAAAATACAGTAAAATGTTTTAAACCAATGATCTTAAAATAACTTTAGTTGCTCAGTTATAAATTCCTATCATGCTATTTAATAGGAACCTATAACTAAGGTTTTTCAACTTGTTTGTACTTGAAGTATGAATGACTTAGTATTCACTTCTAGAGTATAGGTTGTACTGATGGTGTTTTACCAGACTAATCAGCTGAAAGATGCAATCATTTTTTGTTTTGTTCAGATCTTTTATTAATTATTCATGTCTGTATATTACCGAATATCTTACTATAGTATTACATAGTGTTGTATATTCATACCTTATTTCCATTTGAGTGTTCCTGGGAAAGTGTTATGAAATTTACTAGTATATGTAGTTTGCCATGGAGATTGCTTGATTACTAGAATACTATTGCTGTAGTATCTACACTAGATTTCTACTGTATCTGAGACATGCTTCAATGTTCATCTTAAATTATATAGTAACCAAAATAGTATGACACCAAGATGTTCTGTAATCCAGTTCTAGTGATAACTCTTGATAACAGCGGCATAGATACATGCGTTGATAACTGTTATTGGGTTTTGTCTGGAAATATTTAAAAGTATTAAAATGCTTTCATGTAGAGTTTAGATATTATGAAAAAATGCAAAGGGAAAATGAGGGGCTTCTTTACATGAAACAGTTATGTTTCTAAGGGTATAAGTTGATTTAAATAATATATACAATGTTTTATTTTTAAATTGGTAAGCAACAGGTAAAGCATGTGATAAACTAATTATGTTCAGTAAAAACAAATCTGAGGCTATACAGTTATGATCTGTACTGATTATTAAAATTTGGGAATCCAAAAAGTAAAATTGATTAAAATACCCTCTGGAAAGAATCATCAGTTACAATCAGGAATTATGATACTATAATAATTAAATGCAGTTGTTAGCCACTTTCATTATTAAATTGATGAATTTAATAAGACTTTTTAAAATCAAGACAGACCTGTGAACTCCACTGGATATAATAATATATAGGGACAAAGTTTTCGTCATGATTTTAAAAAATACTGACATAAAGGGATCTAAGACTATAATTCATTCCTTCTCCAGAGTTTGAATGCAGAGTAAATGTTTTAGATTGCATCATTAGAAAGATCAAATATTTTATATAAGTCTTGCTATATAAGTTGCTGCTAATGTGAAAAATGATGATGACTATCATCTGGAAACTGCAGATAGTCCAGAATGTAGCAGCAGTTTTGGATACCCCACAGTTCACTGAAGTAACACCACTGCTGCATGGCTTCCAGTTGCTTTTTGAATACGATTGAAGATGCTAGTTACTTCCTTTAAAGCTCTTCATAATATAGAGCTGGGTTGCTTGTGGGACTGCCTATCCCTGAGAGTATCTGTCCATCCTACTAGGTTAGATGGGAGGGATGTTAAATGTTATCTGATAGGACCTCAGAGGTGCGCCTTCTCAGTAGCTGCCCAGCCTTTTGGAACAGCTCCCACTTGATATCCAACAGATCTATAACGTTTTAGCTTTCCAGAGAGTTCTTGAAGGTCTGACTCCCCAAGTGGAAGTGAGGACTAGGATGAGGGCTGAGCTGTGAGGATGATTGATTTGGACTCTGAGGGAGGGTACTTTTGTTTTTATCTGTGTTGTTTATGGATTGTTGTGAGCAGTTTGGATCCATCATATGAGCCAGGTGGCTATCTAAGTCCTATAAATACATAAATGTCAGAACAGGTATTTCTGTACATCTCTTGAATAAGTAGATTAGAAGCAACGCAAATCTGACATTTGAAATTTGTTTATAGCGGATCTTTTCTGTTTGGTTAATGTTATTGAAATCTGATACAATGCTTTAATTTTCCATCTAGAGACTTCATAGCAGTCTCTTTTGTCTGCCTTATAAAATGTAATATTTTATTAACACAATCCATACTCTCTTTCAATTTGAGAAATAATGGATACTCAACAAAATACTAATCCAGTATAAGAACATCAACATCTGAAAAACATTGCCCTGCTACCTTCCTTGGAGTTAGCATGAACAACAGATGAGGGAATATGGGAGGGGTGTTACAAAGAGGCAAGTGTGTTATTGGCAGCACTTCAGAGAAGCTGGGCTACTGTAGAGTAGTATGTATATAGCCTTGAAGGAAATGTGCAGCAGCTATTACAAAAACTATTAGTTTAGCCCTGAAAGGAATAACAGAAACTCAGGGTAGGCTTTCCTTGATTCTCTAAGAGGGAGCGGGGGAGGGGGGGAAAGGCTTTTAAGAATCTGTTACTATATCATATAATATATTTTTTGATTATTAGAAAAAATAAGCTATAACAAGAAGGGAATTACGATATAATTTTAAAAAATTTATAATTTTAAAATTTGATTAGAATTATATGTATAACTGCCAAAAGGAAGATCAGAAAGCTTACATATATTTTTTCCTTTTCTTTTTTATCTGCCTCCTTTTTCTTTCTTTTTTCACATTAATTTTACTATATTTTTCTTTTAATTTTTTTTATTATATATGTAAAATCTTGATAAAACTTTCTTTTTAAAAAAGTAGAATTATATAGTTCTTGTGGCGGTTTTTTAATATAGCCTATTTCAAATGACTAAGTTATAATCAATCATAACATGCTAAATTATTATGTGTGGTGGTAGCCATGATACAGCAAACTAAAGATAAGCACAATTTTGTTAGTGTAGCCTTATAATAAAGCAGAATTGGCTTATCTTGTCATGGTGGGCCTGCATGGCCTACCTGGTAAGGTTGACAATATCTTTCAGCTAGGGTAGCTGAGTTGGAATATAAGCCAAGTTCTATATAGCAGACCTTACATTTTTGTTTATTTTGCTGTTATCTTGATTTTAGGAATTAATATTTGTAGAGGATTATTGTAATTATATTAACTATTTGGTTAATCAGAGTGTAAAGAAACTTTGCTCTATGATTTAGAAGGTTACTATTAATAAGGTTCATGATATTGTTCCTGACATTTTAAAAACAAACCTATTAAATCAAAAGAACATTTTATTTTGTGTCTCTTTTATGTTATTGTTTCCATGCCCACAATATTTTTGAAATTCAGAGATTCGTGTTTAAACAGAATGGTTCCTACCTATTAGCCTTATTGTAACATCTGTTCCCAGAATTAGAAAACATTCAGTAAAGAAAGAAATAATTTATGATAGACTGACATGTCTAAAACCTTCTTGCTTTATTTATTAATCAAATATTATTTATTAATAAAATTTGTATAGCAGCCCATCCCATAAACAGCTCCTCTGAGTGGTGTTTATTTACTGTTAAATTAAGGCCACAAGTATATTTTTAATATTCTTTCAGCTCGAGATGCTGATGAAAGAGAGAAATGGATTCATGCTTTAGAGGAAACCATTCTTCGTCATACTCTTCAGCTCCAGGTAAATTCATTTGCACTCTGCTTTAAAATTATAAAATTGTTAAGAATATTTGCTCTAATGAATTCATAAAAAATGGTGAATACATTCCAGAATATATTCAGATGAATATAGCTTTCTGTTGCAAATACAGTATATACAGTATTAAATATAAAATCAAAGCATTTAAATGTGTTTCAAACAGCAAGCATTTCAGCTGAATTAATAAGTTTTGAAATAGACTGTATTGCCAATATACAGATAGAAACTGTTCTATTAAGATCCGAAAAATTAGAAACATTGATTGAACATATTTTAAAATACATCGTATTTAGTATCTTTTCAGCATCAGGCTTGCGGTTATAATTTGTATTTTTGTTGGTTTTATATATTCATCCATAGCTGCATGTCAGGTTTGGAAACACATGATGCAAATTCTCTACACTAAAATAGAGAACAGCTATATAAATCCATTGACTAAATAATAATAATACTATTGAAAGTTTTCTGGGTGGTGGTTAGGTTTCTAAAAATTCAAAACAAAACTAAAAAGCCAGTGCAACTATCTTTGTTGTTTGGATACTTGCAAATGGAACTAAATGGAACTTAAATTCTACAAAATATTTTAAGGAAAAAGCAAGTGTGTGTCTGTTCTTAGTAAAAAGAAGACTATCATTATAATTACAGTATGTCTTACACAACTAGGTTTCTTCCTCATATAAACATTTGCAGGCAAAGCTTTTTGCCAACATTCAGCCTTAGATGTTAAATTGTGTTTATATCAGCCCAGCAAAAACAAAACAAAAAAAAAGCAAAAAATAAAATCCAGCACTGGAATACATTAAAACACGACTAAGATTAAGAACTTTCTGCTAAACTTTATAATTTGAATCAATATATTTCAACTCTGAAATAGTAGTCTTTATTGTCATTGTACAAAATAAATAAAACAAAACTGGTTACTCTTTAAATACTCTTTCATATTACAAAGTGGAGAGTTCTTTTTGAGATATTAGTTTTAAGTGGTAACATTTTCACTTTGGGTTAGTGTGACTGAGTAAAAGAAGTGTTCCACTGTGGAGTATTTAAATGGCATTTACAATAATTTTCAAATAATAAATCTTTGTAAAAGCAACCCTAGCTTTAGATGGACAATTGCAGCCTGTTATGCAATTTTACTTGAAAGTCTAGCCAATTTAGACTATTCTATTTCTTCCTATCTTTTGCCAACCGTATTGTCTCACAGTCACAGAGATCCTATTAATTAATTCTCACCACTGCAGGTCCTTTTTGACCCTCAGGCAATTTTGTTGGCTCAGATTGCAGCTAAGAGTCCAAGAATGGGCGGGGGGGGGGGACTCCGTGGCGGAATAAGGCAGGCTCTCTTGATTCCTGTCAAACATTGTAAAAAGATTTAAATCTGCTTCGTAGTAAGGGATTTTATATCGCGAAGCTGAAACACGCAGAAAAGGGCGCAGGGGTGGGTGGGTTTGAATCGAACTCGGCGAACAATCACTGCGAGCCAAAAATGAAAAAGCAACGTAACGCTGTAGCCAATTGCAAGCATGTTGACGTATTGATAACTAAAATGGGGGCGGAGGAGATCTGAATGGATTTGTGGCATCATCAGCACTGCGCGAGAAGTTCTAGGCAGATAAATGGGTTATGAATGGCAGAGCCGGCAGTGCCTTTTGCGCGGTAATTTTTCTTAATTGTTCCCTGCCAGCGGAGCCCCCTACGCACAGCGATCGCAATAGCTCTAAAGGAAAGCAGAGGAATGCTTCGATGCGCTTTCTCTGTTCGTGTTACCCTCCGATTTCTCCACGGGAAGGAGGATGGGTCAGGCTAAAGGACACCTGACCCATAGCCAATCGGGTCCCACTTGGCTTTAAGACTGTAACTGTGCGAACGGCGGGGTTTCCGACGCGGCCACTCTACCGGGAGAGGCGGGGCGGGGAAAGGAGAGGAGGGAGATCTTGTAAGACCCTTCTCGAGAGGCGTGACCGGCCGCGAAAAGAATGGCTAGTGTGAGTAGGAAACAGATATTGGGTAGCAACGTGATGGACAGGAAAGGAATGGAAACCCTCTATTTGCTGGCCTTCTCGAGCAACCCCCCCTCCCTTCCCGACGCACTTTGCCCTGAACTCCAGCGTGTTGACTTAGCACAGTTTTGTGAATGTCCCATTTTTGCGTTTTGCGTCAGAGTTGATGCGATCTTGTAAAAATAGGCGAGCAGGCAGCCGACCCGGCGGATCATTTCCATGCCGTTCCGCGTTTTGACTAGTTCCGCTCGGTGTGAATCGTCGCTAAAATTGGATGTTGGAAATGAGGGCATCGTATGTTGGAGGTTCTGAGTCAGTTTGGCTTTCAGACTCTGGATGATTGATTGATTACTCCCGTTGTTGCCTCTGCTGTTTAAAATGGGCCTTTTGTTTTAACATTTGAGCCATTAATACTGAAAGCTAGAGAGTTGATGTCAGGAGAATTTGACTTCCTTAGCTATATGGTTGCTGTATAGTTGACAGCAACATACTGATTGCTTTCAAACTGCAAATCAACCAGCAAAGAAGGCTTTCCTTAATGAACTCACGGTAACACCAGCCTACTAAGGATGAACTCAGCTATCTGAATTCTTTATATAGCCAAACCTATACAGAATGTGGAATTGCAAGAATAGTTTTTCTGTAGGCAGTGAGCATGTCTGAAATGTCAACTTGTGATCTCAAACAGTAAAAGCCACAATTGTGCAAGAATGTAATGATAGTGTATATGTCTTGGGGAATTGGAAACATGCTTCCAGGAAACAAAAAAAAAGCATCCATAATGGATGACATGTAATTTTTTATAGAGACTGCAAGTATTTACTACATAGACGTACCTTTGTTTTTATACAGAAATTTGGATACTGTTCAAATCAAAGGATTCCTTTTCATAGAAGAAAAACCTTCTAATTACGTATGGATAGTGCACAACCTTTAACAATTCCATTCACTCTTAATATTTAACTGGTCCAGCTGGTTGGTGATCTTAATTGAAGATTTGGTCAGCTTACAAAGCTAACTGCGTGACCTTCAAAAGCCCTAGGAAGCAGGCAACTTCTGAAAAATCTTGCTAAAAAAACCTACAAGGCTTAATCTAGGCAATCACCAGGAGCCAACACAGATTTGAAGGCGCATACAAAAAAAATATATTAAAATTGTGTGGTAAACTTTTAAAACATAAATTCTAGAATGATTTGAGTACTAGGTGAGTTGAAAACCCCTTCCTTATTAGTAACAAAAGGGGCCTGCAGATATCCAGTTGAGACTGTACAGGATTATAAAAAAATCGTAGAATTATTTAAAATATCTAAACTTATAGTTTATTGCTAATAGTTATTCCCTTTTTAAAAGCCTTGGTCATAATTCTTCAGGACATGAGGATTTTTGGATCCCATTATTTTTTAGATGACAAAAGCAGTAAAACAATAAACTATATTACTTGCTGTTGAAAAACTTCCTTCCTAGACAGCCAAAAATGTCTAACTTTACATCAGCTTTGAGCAGGATTTTTAAAACAGAGTAGGTTCTAAATGAAATAATACCTTCTAATATTCATTTTTTAAAATTATGAATTCAAAATAACTTTATAGCTAGTATTGTGTTGGAAAAATTAAAAAAAAATGCTTTCCTGCGTGTTGGTAAACAAAAACAAATTATGTTTAATTTTTATTTTTTATTATTTATAGGGTGTGGAGTCTGGATTTGTTCCAAGTGTCCAAGATTTTGATAAAAAACTTACAGAAGCTGATGCTTACTTACAAATTTTGATAGACCAATTGAAGGTACATTAACTCTGTAATGACTGCATTATAGATGTAAATAATTTTCTAGCAATTATATACTTTATTTTGTTCCTAAAATTCAGGACTGTAATTCTCGTGCAGATAATGCCAGAAATGGGAACACCATACATTTGTAGTTTGAATTTTGAATCTATTTTCTTGAAAAGCAAATAATCTTTCTAACCTCTGTTTCAAAATACAAAGATAGTACGTTGACAGTTCCTGCTTCAAGAGATTAGATCTAAGGAGCTTAGGTGCAAATTAGAATCTGCAGACTTTCATAATATAGTCAAGTTCTAAGAACAGCAATATAAGCTTTGCTTAAGTAAGGATGTGCAAAGCTTAATTTTATAATGCTTAATCAAAACTGAAAATCAGACAAAAATCTAAAATAATTCTCTGCTTAAAGATTTCAATTTCAGTGAATCTGGATGTTTAAGTGTAAAAAAAACATGTTTATATAAACTATTTTGTCTATATTCCTTTTTTGCATTACATTGTGTGCATCACAGTTAATTTGTGATGCCATAGATTTTTTTTTAGAATTTTTATCCTGCCTAATACTCCTTCCTCCTCCTGTTTTCCCCACAACAACAATAACAACGACAACAACTGTGAGGTGAGTTGGGCTGAGAGTCATCCAGCTAGCTTTCACGCCTAGCATAGGATTAGAACTCACGGTCTCCTGGTTTCTAGCTGGATGCCTTAACCCCTTAACAAAATGGCTCTAGATTTCAAGTCTAAGTAGAATTGACTTAGTTTGTTATCAAGTGGCTCAAATATTTGATCTTGGAAATGAAGAAAATATTTGATAATAAAAATAGAAGCTGTAGTATATTTTATTTCTAAAGCAATGATTTTGAAATGTTTTTAGCTTAACTTGAATATATAATTGTGCATCAATTGTAGGCAGGGGATCCATTAAAAAAATGTAAAGATAATGGTCACAGTCAAAGCCCTGCTCCTTTATCATGGATGTGACATTGTTGTGCATACAAAAGGGGCAGAATTGTGGCCCCCATCTTGATGTTTTTAGTGATCCTGTGGATCCTCCTGTTTGTAATACTATGCTGATTATTCACATATGGTTGTACTGTTGTGATCAGAGAATATTCCTATTCCCCACCCCACCTCCTATGATTACTTTTTACACTTTGCAATAAAAGCAAAAGAGTTAGTCCCATTGAACTAATGGGAAGCAACAGTTTGTTAAAGCCATAGGTAATATGGATATTATTTTTGGTAAGACATCTGTCTTAAAAAATATACTTAGTCTACAGAAACTAATATACTTTTAAAAGTGATTTACTATCCTGTTGGAATTATTAAAGTTTATCCCATGTTTTTAACAATTTTCTTTTTTAGCTTTTTGATGAAAAACTTCAGAACTGCAGAGATGATGATCAGAGAAAAGCAAGTATATTTTTTGTACAGATGACCTTAGAGTATATATTTCTTTCTAAGATACAACTTTACTGGTCTTTTTATAGATAATGAATACTATATATGTTTGTTTATATCTATATATCTGTATCTATATCTATAGTAGGTGCAGAGAAAATAGAGACAGAATAATAAGAAAGGATATATTTAATTCAAATAAAATAATCACTTCTATGGATTTACATCTGATCTTCAAAACTCACTGTGACATACAAAGTGGTCTTTCCTCTAGTTTTCTACCACAGTTCCTTAGCAAGGTCATTAAAGAAAGCAATATGTATTACTTTCTGTGCACCCCAGAAGGAACCATCACTATATGGATAGAGAACTCTACTTTTCTTATCCAGAAACGTAGCATTTGCAGCAGGAGATGACATTTACTGTTAACTCAAGCACTGAGTTCAGTGGGGTAGGAAGCATCACATCTGGGATGCTAACCGAGACCTTGCAACAGGAATGGAAGCTGTCTTTTGCTTTTGCTTTTCCAAGCTTAGAAATTAGGGTTTTTTTCTGGGCTGGAAAACAGTCGTGTAGAATATTATTTTTCCCTGCTGCTGGTAATCTATGCAGAACTCGGTTGATTCCTCTGAACCTTTCTCTCTGCCTTTTCTTTGCCACCATTGCCTTGGGCTTGTTTGCTTGCTTTTCCATTCTTTTCAGGAGTCTAAAGCTCCAAAGTATTTTATACACATTGCTGCATACAAATTCTAAATTATGAACTAAATTATGAACATAACCAGCAATTCTCTGCTGCCCAAATGTAGTAGGATGTCTTACATAAGGGGATATTGATTTTCTGGAAAACTTGCATCCATACGATTGACATGCCTTTTACTGAAGCAAAACAAAACTGAATGAGAGGTAATCTGCAGGAACCAAATGGAGCCCTGCAGCTAGTCAGGATCTTCCTTCAGGTAAAAAAAAATACTATTTGTATTGGAGATTTTAATATGTTTTCTTTTGGAAAACACAATTTTCTTGCTGGACCACTTTCCCCCCTCAATGAGATGCTATGAGGATATGTCTCTTATAAAAGGTTAAATTCCATTTTAGAGCTGCTATTATGTGAAACTTGCTAAAATAAGGACCTTTTTGTATTTAGAACAGAGTCATATGCTGATTATAAAATACATGTAAGGCAGTTTTTCTCAACCTGATTCCCTTTAGATGCATTTGAGTGCACTTCAGAATTATTATCCAATATGGACAGAGAGCAGTTGGCTGATAATTATGTGACTTATGGATCAAATGATTGCCAGAGTGCAGACGGGGAAAGACTGTCTTATATAGGTTGAGAAAAACTCTCTTAACTATTAAATAGGTGTTTCTTCTCATTACATAAGTTTGCCAGACAAATGTGACTTTATAATTACTTAAAATCTAATCTGTTGCAGTGACTGATGTTAGAAAATATGATAGTTGATATCTTTGTATGGCAATTAGTATTTAAAAAAACTGTTCATGTCAGAAGAAAAATGTCAGATTGTTTTTATCCCATAATTTAACACCATTAATTCTGATTCATAGCATGATTTTTTTTCTTTTGAACAAATCCATTGATCTAATACAAGTAACAAAATTTCCATCTACTGTACTTTTCGCAGTATAAGACGCACCCTAAAAGAGTGGAAATTTGGTGCATCTTAACACCAAATACAGCCATTTTGGCCTCCTGAAGCCCTGCCCCACATCCCATTTTTGCGAAAAACGGCCCATTTTTACCTTTCCCCAGACCCCAGGAGCACTCTGCAGGCTTCAGCAGGGCTGGGGGGAAGGCAAAAATGCTCCTATTTTTGCGAAAATCAGGCCTTTTTTGCCCGTTTTTTCACAAAAACAAGGGTGTTTTGCCTTCCCCAAGGCCTGCTGAAGCCTGCAGAGTGTTTCTGGGGGCCCAGGAAGACAAAAACTTTTTTTCTTACTTACCTGTTTGAAATTTTGGTGTGTCTTATACACCTGTGCGTCTTATAGTTCGAAAATATGGTATTTCTAGTAGAAATATGTTTTGAATAAAATGTTCTTGAGGTATCATTTAAGCATTTTCTGTCTATAAGAAATTTTCAACATGACTTACTGATATAGTTGTAGAAAAAATAAGTCGAGGCAAAAATATGGATATCTATTGAGCCTGAATCTTGAGTCAATATTATAACTTGGAAATGCAAAATAATTATTTTAAAATTTTTAAATATGCTAAACAAAACTTTTCAGCAAAATTGCTTATAACTAAAAAACTCTTAATGTGACTAAAACTAGCTATTTGTAAGAGTCATTTTGTTTATTTATAGGTGGAATTGGCTATATAAATTAAAATAACTTTCAAGCATAAGCACAGAATAAGTTGGTAGAGGAAAGCTGTCCAACAAGATTTTCTGAACGTGGTAGCAAGTTGTAGCATTTGTATTCTAGCTGCTTGTTAATCAAAGAAAAATAATATCAAAGTCATTGTATAGTGATGAAAGATGTTTGCTACTCTTGGTAAAGCAATATTTTGTCTGGAATATGCTTGAGATCCCAGACACTTGTTAAAACTTGCCTGTCTGAGTTTGCACTGTTTGGTTTTGTAGATAATATTTATGTTTGGTTAGAAATAAACAATAAATAGTATTAATAAATTTAAAGATCACCATTTGTATCTTTAAATATTTTTTTTATATTTTAAATATTTTTGGTATGTGTTTGCAGAAGATTGAAAACCTCAGAGAAACAACCAGTGTAAGTTTTTGTTTTAAATCACTATGCACTTGAAGTCATATTTCATCTGATTCTCTTAGAATGCATTGTAATAATTGAAGGAAGATAATCTAAAATATTTTTAAAGTCTTGTTCATATTTATGTACATATTCATCTTTAGCAATGTGTTTACTAGTAGACTCTTTTAAATGAAATGGTATGACTATTCTCCTTCCATAAATGACTTGTACCATAGTGCTTCTTATGATACATTAATGGAGAAATATAAAATAAATTATTTATTAGCAGGAATAATTATCATATTGTAGATTAATTAATTACTATCTTCTAACGTAAGCAAATTTCATTGTAGGTTTAAAATATATACAATATATCTATAAGACAAGGCAGTTATCAAAATAATGTATTTTAAAGTGAAATCATGTATAAATAAACCATAACAATACTATTAATGAGTTGTTTATCAAAAACTCTTTTATATACTTAAAATACTTAATGTGATTATTTGATTATTTGCAAGTGGAAGCAATATTTTTCCCAGAAGTACAGTGCTGGTCTATGAGGGTTGCATGCTAAGAGAACAAAGCAGAAGTGGAATTAATCTTAAGAACTCTGAAGTATATCAGTTGTTCATAATTGTTAAGTTTGTTAGATATTATAACAATAGCTTTGAAAAATAAATGCTAAAAAATAAATAGCAAAGACCTTTTTGAACGTGCTTTGGATTGCTTTAATTGTTTAAAAACTTTTAGAAAAACTTAAATATTTATTTTTCCTTCCTTAGAGCATGGTCGAATCAATAAAACATTGTATTGTCTTGCTGCAGATTGCTAAAGTAAGTATTTCTATCAGTATCAAATAGAACATTGATAGTACATAAGAACAAGAGTTGCCACACTTAGATGGTATACTGTTGATGGTGAACATACTTAACATTATATTATGACAAATTGCTACTGAGTTTGGAGCATGAAACTGCATGGAAGAGAAAGAGTATTACAAGACACCTTGTGTATATAGGTTTCCACTCACACAAGTTTGACTTCTGCCTACCTCCTTAAATGTCCAGAGGCAACAAACTCTGGTTATTATTGCAGAAAACTCCAAGCTGAAATAGGAAGAAGCAAATGTTAATCATTTTTTTCCTGAACTGGGTTACAAATAAATTGTATGCATTTGAAAGAGTGATCTTAAAATTTGTTGTATTTGATGGCCCATCTTGACTATTGGTTTCTCAGTGTATTGATAATAGATTTGAAATATTTCACCATTTCTTCTTGGAACTTGGAACACAGAACTGATAAAATGGGATGGGGGGGGGAGTGGTTAAAGTCCTCACTCCCAACATTATTTTGCATGTACTAGTAAAATAAAATTTTAAATATTTTGTTATCCTTAATGAGCTTAATAATTAGTTCTGGCATAGAAGTTACTGCAATGTCAAATATGAAAAATCTTTGTTTAGTTTTGTGGGGCAACTAAAAAATATCTAACATAAACTGCTGTTGGTAGTTGTTGCTGATGTATGCATTTATGTATACAGTACATGTATCTATTTTGGATCAAAGTCCAAAAGAATAACCATATACAATATAATCCAGTAATATGTAATACAACAATTTAAAAATGATTTGAGAATGAAATTTTTGACAAACCTTCAAGCAACAAATAGCTGATACCATGGATTGGAGTTGAGTGCAAGCCTTCTACCCTCAGCTTCAAAAGAACAGAATTTTCAAAGAAATGGCTAGATAGCAGTGCACATGGACCAAAATACATTTGAACAATTCTTCTAAGAAAATTGTTTTAGGTACAATTCTGGCATCAGAAATTGATACGAGGAAGAAGAGATGCTTGCTCTGGTCTAATAGGATAAAGTATATCCTGGTAAGGGAAGGGCATTGTCTGCAAAGCTAAAATAAGACGAATAACGTTCTTGAAATAATAAAATACTGCAAAAGAAAAGAAAGAATATTTGGGAAATATTCTTTATGAGAATGATTAAAATATGCAGAGTAATGGTAATTATGCTTAGCATTTTAAATTATATTGGAAAATAAGGATAATCAGGAGAAACATATTACTTCAAAGTAGGAAAATATGAATTTTTCTATATGTATATATTTGAAGACTTATTTTGTTTCATATGTACAATACTGAAAAACACATGAAACTCAGGATATTTGTTTTATTGAAATATGAAGTTATATATACTGAAGTAACAAACAATAACTAAATTATTCTATTTATTTTAATAAGAATGTAATGAAGTTTGTAATTAATATTATTTTAAAATTAGGTTTATTAATATTTTTTTTAAAAATTCTTAGGGAAGAACTTTGAATAAAGCTTGTCATATGCTCATAAATCATAAACTCTTAATATCCTTTATGACACAAATATAAAAATGATCTATTGTACAGTTGTACTGAGATAAAGTTCGTTTGCAATTTGTAATTGTAATGTAGCTTAAAACATCATGAACTATGTAGGCTGTTAATTTTTTCCCCCAATATAGAAAATTGATATTTTAGCCAAACCTGGCACTTTTTGTATGATAACTAAACTTGACAGTTTTCAAAGTCAGAAAAAAATCTAACGCAGAGTTTATTTTCAGATTCTGAACTGTATTCTTCCTTTGTGACTGTTATATTTTCTGATAATGTAATGAGTAGGAACCTCTCAAGAAAGGCAATTAATAAAGCAGCAGCATTACAAGAAAATTGGGGTTAAAAAGGAACAGCTTGAGCCTATGACTTTGTCTTTAATTAGGGCCTTTAAATGGGAGGTCTGTAGCAAATTGGCATTATTTATATGACTGCAACAGTATTCTCTCATCACCTACTGGGATTAAGAAATAAAAGTAAAAATTGCTCCTCAATTTCTGGGATTATGAAATCTCGTTATGCTCTTATACTCTCTTCCAACTTTAGGTGTAATAACATATGCCTTTACATAAATACCAGAGAAATGACACAGGATGTTCCATATATCGATATATTGCATTTTGAAAAGGAATGAATATAATCAGGATCTCTAGTATTACAGGTTTTATTATGTAATAAATTAAAGATTATGTCTGAAACAATTCTACTGGGACTATGTGCAGTCAAAATGGTATATACAGTCTACTTTCCCTTAAATTCTCAGTGCAGAGAGCTGCAGATGTTATATTCTGTAAAGCTCCATATGCAGAATTTTACATGACGGTGTTTATACTGACCACCAGAACATGGTGCTTCCTGGTAGTCCCTGTAAGTGAAACCATCACATTAAAGCTATTAATTATATTTATCAGTTATGAGCAGTTTCCAACATTCTATTTTTGTAATTGCATATGTTGGAACTATTAAATGAAATACTGCCATCAGTTATATTATTTAGAGCAGGGATGGCAATCTGCAATTATACCCAAACATCCCCAAACTGTATACTGAAATTTGTACAAAATTATCAACACTGATTGAAGTCAACGTCAACTTCCTTATTGTTTTTATTATTTGGCTTGTGGAAGGAGCAATTTGCCTCGCGGAAACCTTTTTTTTTTTGCCATTTTCACCCTAAACCCATCATTGAAGAAAAAGACCTGGCAAAAAAAAAAAAAAAATCAACCCTGCCCCATTTAGCAATATATGGTATAATCAAAGTGCCAGTTGTGACCCTCCAAAACATTAGCAGGCTGACATGCTGCCTCCTACTATTAAATATTTCCATTTGTGTTTAGAAGTTATTTCTGAAGATTCTATTGATTTCTCTCAATGAAGAATTCTTAAAACACATGGAAATATATTTTTATGCTGTAAGTTTAGGTCACAACAGTATTTCAACTTGGCTCTTCATGAAGTGCTGACGGTCTTGAGTTGCCATTGGTATTCTTGTTTGGTATTTCTTTATTGTAAACTGGGAAACAAATGTAGAAGTGATCCAGAAGAGATCTGATTAAATCTTCTATTGCCATTTGGTGAGCAAGAGCGATCATATACTATAGTATGATTTTATGGGGTAATGCAAAGCAAGCCATATTGGGGGCAACAAACCCCACCAAAATTCATTTTAAGGCAATATCTTCATTTTCTGAAAAGATTTACTAAGTTCTGAGAGCTTCTTATAAAGAGGAGAATTCAATGGCCTAATCACTGCATGGGAATTAGGTAAAAAATTCAGTAATTCATTCTCTTTGGCAAATTTAGATAATTTTAGTTCATAACAGGGAAATTGACTGCCTATTGTAAAGTACTGATTAACTTGGAACTATGGATTAATTATAATTTGCTACATATTTGTAACTACAGTGGTTCCCCATATTCTTCAAATTTGGATATATTCCACTTACTCAGAAGAAAACATTCAGAAGACCACAAGTGTAAAAGAGCTCTGCAGTCTCACCAATTTCCTTTTTGTTAATGTTTCTGACAAGCCACAACTATTTTTAATAGCTAAGGTCTCCTGTCCCCCATTTATGAAAACGTCCATATGCACTATGTCAACATCCAAAAGCCAACGTACATTTTGCTTCACATATTCTGCATTTTCATATTCTGATACACTGGTCTACAGGTAATTTAACAGAAGAGAATATATTATATTACTCAGGGTTGAACTGTGAATCTGTTGATATTAATCTAAGTCCAGGAGGAATTTAAAAAATTGGCGAAGAGTGATTCTTTGCTCTTGAACTTGATTAAGATTGAACTAGTGTTATTCCAGCTATAGTTACTATTTGCGGGGAGGGGGGGCTTGTGTCAAAATGCATCTTGTATATAGTGCCGCTACTAAGCCAGTGAACATCTTTATATAGTCATTGATAACAAACTCAGAGAAAACTCTTTACTTTCTTTTAAATATCTTATGATGGAACAAAGCTGCAGTCATAATTGCTCTATATTCTCTCTTTCTCCTGGTTTTCTCTTTTTCACATGATGGGAGAAGACAGAAATGAGGGGGTTATTTTTCAGATAAAACTTTAGTTAATCCCATAACCCAAATGAATTGAATCTAGTTAGTACTTGTGTGGAGATCATGAGGAAAATCTTAGGGTTGTAGATTAATTTTGAGGCATAAAAATCATCCATGGAGAAGCAATATCAAATGGCTTTAATGAAATCAGCAGAAATCAAGTTCAGCTCAAAGGAATTTTCATTTAAAAGGAAAGACTAGAAGGCATGAATGAAGAATGTAGAGGCATTTTACTCAGAACTCCTTCAAATGCCATTATTTTTCTTATATTGTGGAGATTTCAGGAATATTGTTTCTGAATTTAAAAAAGCCATGATATAAGAACCTTTTGTAGGAGTTCTAAGTATTTATATGAATGTATATCTTAATTACTTTTAGCAATTCTTGTATTACAGATGCAACTTATTGTGGCTTTTAAATGGCAGATACATTTGCTAGAAAGAATTTTTTATCTACTACTAAAATAACTGAATTTTTTATAATGAACAACTATATAATGAACAAAATTTCTAATGAGGAAGTTTCCCTTTCAAAAAGTATAATGCTAATTTCTTAAAAACACAAATCTTATAAAAACAGCATTAATTACATTGATGACAAATTATTATGTTAATATTTGTAACATTTTTCCTTAAGGATCAGACTAATGAGGAGAAGCACGCAGATGGACTTATAGTAAGTTTAAATGTAAACTATTACTTTTTTTTTTATCTCTGCAGAGCATTAAAGCTACAGTCATGTGAACACAGAGACTTAAACCTCACTTTTCTTCCTTTCTCTCTTTTTTTCTCTCTCTCCCTGAAATAAGTGTTTCATTCTCAGTATCCTGTCAGTGTTCTAAAACCTCTAAATTCCACTGTTTCTTGTTAAGATTCTCTGTTTCCTATTAATAAAGCAAAATTAAAATTGCCACTATGAACGGGAAGAAATTGGGAAGAAAATTTAATTTTCTGGTGTGCCAGAAATTGTGATTGTTGTCAGAATGGAAGTCTCTTGCTTAAAAATATAATTTGTGTATCATGTATAGTATATGTTCTATGTCTAAAATGAAGCTCCACCAGGAACTTTTGATAGCTGAGATTCTTTTGCTAGGAATAAGCCTGTATCGTGTTAGGAAAATCCTCATCTTCTTGAACCCATGTCTGGAACAATACATCCCAATGCCAGACAGGTTAGATCAACTGTTTATGGACCGACGAAAAATGTATTATCCAAATTTTCAACATCTATATTTAGCTATACGTTTATTGTGATTGACAACTGTAAAGAGTCTACTGAAGTTTACAGTTCTTTATGTTGAATAAAGTAAAAACATAAGTGGTGTTTTCTTTTGAAATTAGTTTTACTATTTCTCAAGGTGTGCTATGGGAATATTTTCCTAAGGCTATAACATAAATTAATTTTTGGAGATTATTCTTTTGTATGAATTAGTCTCTTGGTTCCAGTTTATTTCTCTGTTTCTCACCTTAACCTTCTTTAGACAAAGTTTGAAATTTAACCCATACCTCTGATAGCTAAAAAAATGTGTTTGAGTAAAGAGCCAGAACTTCCCTCTGACATATTTTTCTATCTAAATCTCCCAATTCCCTCTTTTCTACTTGTCAATGGATTAAAAAATACAATTTGACAGTGGAATTGGAAAATTGATAATTGGTTGAAGTTGATAGAAGTGATTTAAAAGGGTGAAACACTTGCCAAAATTCTGTCCTATGATACAAAGCAGCATTGATTTTTCTGATTCATGCAAATATACTGTCTGTAGATTTATTCAACATTAGCAACACAAACCATGGGGATGTCACTTTCTGATCAATGCAGAAAGCTACCTGGTTGGAAACCTTGACATTTACCAGACATTATTAGCCTGACTCATACTGCATGTAAGAACAGATATTTGTGTCTGGGTCTTCCTTGGTGAACTTCCGTCCACCATCCTCCTGTAGGTTTGCTGCTCCTTGCACACAGAAATGGATAAAGAATGCTGTTTACCTATAATTAAAGTGGTCATCTGCCATCTTTGGTAATATATTTCCTTTTCTTCTGATCATAATTGTGATTGCTAATTTCCTGAATTGGGATTGCATGGCCATGGGGATGCTGTGATGGACAGAATTTTGCAGGCTGGTTTTAAGTTCCCCTCATTCAGCTCTGTTGAATGGTCATAATCTGAGCATTACCTATGTGCTAACATGTTTACATTCATATTTCTAAGGTTTTTTTTATTTATACTTCATGCAGAATAGCAGAATGTTGTATTTTGGAGCATATATTAAAATGATTTATAAAGTTGAAGCCTGTAGTATCTTGTATTTTTCTTTTTATAATCCTACCTCAATGCTGTTTAAATGTTTATGGTAATAGAGCTTCATAAGAAATCTACATATATGAAGGATGCTTCATTTTTTAAACAGAATCTTAAGTTTTATCATGGATATTTAAACAGAAATTCAAAATAGCAGGCACATCATTTAGCAGTTAATAGCAGCTATAAAACTCCTCCTTTTCCTCTGACATAAAGGGAATGAAATGTTTGCTTGTTACTGTGTTTAGATATGGCAAACTAGTTTGACCACAAATCAACATCATAAATAGTGTCTGTACTCATACTAATAGTCATGATTTAGTATTAAATTTAAGAGGTATATATTGGATAAATATGCTGATTTGGATAAATATGCTGATTTACCAATTTAGAGAAAATTGCAATGCATTATTAGAAGATAGTAAGGGTTTCATTTTCTTTAGTACAATAGATTGGTAGCTTTACAGCTTTAAATATAAAAAATGATATTTTTAAAGTATTTAGGATCCAAGTGTCAAAATCAAGACTGAATTGATCCAGGAAGCAACCAGTAGAACGTGTAAAACATTACTTCAGTGGGCAATGTTGAATCAGTTTAGTCTTCAAGGTGGTCTTGAAGAATAGAGCAGTGTTAAACATAATAATTAATTTTGGTTGAAACCAAAATATTGAACCCAGAATGCATAAGACAACATTAAGCATGTTTCTGGAGTACTTTGCCTCTTAACCTCCTTAAAACGGGATCATCACTTCCATTCTAAAAGTACAGATAATCCTTGACTTATGATCACAATCGAGCCCAGAATTTCCATTGCTAAGTGAGACAGCTGTTAAGCGAGTTTTGGCACATTTTATGAACCTTCTTTCCACAGTTGTTAAGTGGATCACTGCAGTTGTTAAATTAGTAACACAGTTGTAAAGTGAATTTGGCTTCCCCTCATGTATCACCTTTTGCAATCTTCTATTAAATTGACTTTGTTACAAGATCGCAAAAGGTGACACATGACCCAAGAACTCTGCAATCGTCATAAGTAGAAACCAGTTGCCAAGCATCCGAATTTGAATGTGTGACCATGAGGATGCTGCAATGGCTGTATGTGAAAAATGGTCATAAGCCACTGTTTTCAGTGCTGTTGTAAACTTCGAACAGTCACTAAATGAATGATTGTAAGTCACCTGTACTCAACTTGTGTTGATTAATTTTCCAATATGCATGATGTAGTATTAATTTAAACATTAGTTTTAATATCCCCCCCCCCCAAGTAACATGTAGAAATTGCATGTTTGGATCAGTTCAATAATATAAACACAATATATTTTCAGAAACTAGTAGTTCTGATTGGCATAATTATTCTGTAATGTGTGCTAATCTCTATCATATAGATCTTTTGCTGTACAAATGTAAACATAATACATAAAGTAGGTAAGAAGAATGAATGTTTGAAAAAAATTTTTAGTATGGCTTAAGCTAATTAAAATTTACTTTAAAAATATAATACAATTTTTACTAAATTCTATATTTTACAGCTTTAGTTTTATGACTGGCATTACAATGATTTATTGGGAAAAGTTACAGAATAGATTGGAAAAATTCCCAGAACAGTTTTCCAGTTCTTGGTGCTTACTGCTGATCTTCTACAAACAAACAATTTTCACTTCTCTTGTGATGTTAAGGAGACTACAATTTTATTTCCATGATAGAGAAATTGTAGGAAAATATTAGTCTTAAAATAAGCTAACAACATTAATTTTATAGAGAAGGCCCTTCCTTTAATTCACATAATTTAACTGCAATTAGTACTTGCTAGTATGAATGGTACCCCTATTTTTGTGATGTAGTTTAATTTTAGATACTGAGATAACTGACTAGCTGCTTAATATTAGATCGCGAAGCGGTATATAAGTCTAACTGCTATTGCTAGATACTTTGGTACTATGCTTTATAGTTTAAGGTATTTGGTTTTGTATTAATCTAAGAACAGGGAGGAAGTGAACAACGAAAATACTATAAGAGCATCCTGGAAGTAATAAAATAATTATGTGCAAGATTCTACTATATATCTAGTTCATAAGTGTCATTGAAATATTTCAGATTAGATTCAGATACAAGTTTTTTCATAATGAAAGCAAATTGTTCACTGAAAATAATGGACCATCACTGATTTCTTCTTTTCCAGTTTGTAATTGTTACCTGACTGTGTCATGTTTGTGGGAATTAAAGCTGTTCCATTTTAAATGGAAGATACAGTTACTATAATTGTTCCCATTATATGTCATTTTTTTAAAGTAATTGGGACCTGAAATTTCTTTAGCTTACTTATTTTAAGAATTGTATCCAATTTACCAAGTTGACCTTAATTGACTATTCACTCTGAAAAATTCATTTTTATTATGGACGGCTAGCATCCTTGCTAATAATTTGGGCAACAAAAATACGTTCTGCTTTTGCTACTCTTGAACAACTGTACTTTCCCTTCATCTTTTCATGAGTTCTCCTTTAATTTTTACTGTTGATGCTGACTGCTGGAAACCCATGTTCTATATCCCCTTTTCTGTATAAACTGAGTTGTTATTGTTCTGGTTTATTCTTTTGCTTTGAAACTCAAGACTTCTTCCATTCTAAGCAAATGCTACTGGATTCGATTATTTTCCTAAATGTTTAAATTGTTATTCTTCTGTTTGCTCTAAATATAACATACTACTTTCCTGATAGTGCGTTCTGCAAATTGCAAATATAGATTATGTTGTTTTCTGAAACACGAGGTAATTTATGTTGCTTTTCAACTTGGGAACAGCACATTCAGAATTGTGCTAATGAAGGAGAACTGATTCCTGCATGAGTAAAGGAAAGTAAACTGCATAATGATGATATGGCAGTTGTGTGCTATTTCACATAATGCTGATGTGGGGAATCTGTAACCCTTCAAATGCTCTGAAGTACATGTAGTCCTCGACTTATGACCATAATTGAGCCCAAAATTTCTGTTGCTATGCAAGACATTTGTGAAGTGAATTTTGCTCGACTTTATTGCTATAGTTGTTAAGTGAATGACTGCAGTTGTTAACTTAATAATACAATTGTTAAGGAAATCTGGCTTCCTCATTGACTTTGCTTGTCAGGAAGTCTCAGAAGCTGATCACATGACCTTGAGACACTGCAACCATCATAAATATGAGTCAGTTGCCCAGGGTCTGAATTTTGAATATGTAACCATAAGGATTCTGCAACTGTCATAAGAGTGAAAAACGATCATAAGTCACTTATTTCAGTCATGTTGTATCTTTGAACAGTCACTAAACAAACTATTATAGGTCGAGGACTTCTTGTACAAATTTTGGCAGTCCAGCCAATATGGCCCAATTGTGATAAATGCTGGGAATTTTACTTCATAATTGCTGGAGAGTAATAAGTTCCCTTTCCCCAATATTAGCAATGTGATACAATTTCTACACAAAATAACCTAGGTCTCATAGTTTTCTTTCCCTTTGAGTCTAGTCACCCAATTGAATGTTAGATATATGATTGAGGACACATCCTGTCCACTAGTGCAGGAAATAACCAATTTCATATAGTAGTTATTTAACTAGGTGGAAACTTTGCTGACTTTTTTTTTCTTTAGAACATCAGAATTTGACATCATATGTTCATTACCTGATTTTAATAAAAAGGTTTCATTCCTGCATCAAGATTGGGCCATGAGAAAGCTTTAAAGAATTATTTTGTCTGATCATTTCAATCAAAATTTTTTTTAAAAGAGTGGTGAAGTGTTACCATATGTTTCACCACAGATCAAGCACCTTTTCCCCCCATTTCGTCTACATGAGCTTTCATAATCAGACTGAAATACTCAGTCCAATGGTATATGTTCATAGTTCTTCAAGATGCTTGACAAATTCAGCATCTTGACTGATAATATTGTTGGGTTGCATAAACAAAATAATAAAACTGTATCTCTAAATGACTTGTAATTTTTTTAGTGTTGCCATCACATCAGCAAATTAAACTTTAAAGCAGGAATCCTGGCTTTATGATACTAAAGCAACTAAATTAACTTTAATGGACTGTAATTGTTATTTTTATAGACTACTGATGTGATAAAACCATTTAATTTTGTTTCTCAGGACTGACTTCCTGCACAAATCATATTTTATTGTGGTTCTCAAAAAAAGTTCATCTGTTTTTTATATCACAGAGCACTATTAATCCTGTTGATGCAATATATCCACCTAGTCTCTTGGAATCTTCAGTGAATAGCACAATGCCTACGCAAACTGTCTTACCTCCAGGTATAGTTTTTTTTTTAAAAAAATACTGTCTTGTATATAAGCTAATACCTATTAAATGCTTTAAAAAAATTTTCATCTCTTTCCATTTATTTTCACCGAATGCAGAAAGGAAATTTTGATTTGTGACATATAAAATTGCTAATCCATTGTAAATTAAAATTGGAATGTCCAACCATTGTTCACATTTTCAAGTGGTCCATAAAAGTTCTAGCCATATAGAGGACGCATTGTAGTAGAGTCAACAATATTTTTCCAATTTCCCCAGTTGCTCCTGCCATTTTGAAGGAAATATGTTGTAGTAAGGCTTTAGTTCCTTGATTGGGGTATTGTTTACCTGATTGTTGCTTCCCAATCGGGAAACTACCAAACAGACCAACAGTAAACAGCCCAACCAAAGAATCTGGAATACCTCCACCAACACTGAGGGGGCAAGCCACTAGATTATAAACAGAGAGCAAAACTCATTCCTTACTATCACTGATGATGTTATTTAGTTTGAGTAATGAAACATCTTCAAGAAAACAACCAAGCTCGGAGAGCACCAAAGACCCATCTTTTCAACCCTGAGCTACAAATATTCTCCTTTATTGGCTAAAATGCAGTCATTTTGAGAAAAATAAAAGGAATGGAGGTGAATTAAAAGGACTAAATAAGTCTCAAGGAGAGTGAATAGAAGTAAAAATAAAAAAGTGAAGTGATTTGTTTAATGTTTTCAGAATCAGCTCAACTTTGCAAATCAGAACAGCGACCATCATCCCTGCCTGTTGGACCTGTGGTAGCATTACTTGGAAATAATCAGACTCCAACACCAAATAGTACAGGTATACCCCAACAATCTTCTGTTGCCTTGTTAAATATGGAACTTTATTTTCAAAGGAGTTTTGTTTATGAAGAGTACACAAATAGCTTTGCTAATGAAGCATGTTTTTACTAATTCCTTTAGATACAGTTATCCATAGCAAAGAATGACGATCCTGCCTTGTTTAAAATACCCTCAGTTCTCTTTGGAGGTGGTATTCCATACTTACAATGCTACTGCTCAAAATGAAAGTTGTTTGATTGTGACAGGATAGAAATTAAATAAATATCTATCTAATAACTACCCACATCATCTAATTTAGTGTAAGGGTTTAAAAGAAGAACATTAAGTATCCTTTTATGATATGGACAATTATAATGGAAATATATGAAATTTGCATCTGATGAACATATGATTCTATCAGCAATTCCAAATTGTTACAAATGAGAGCAGCTTAATTTTTAAAGTGAACGGCATACTTATAGCATAATAAAAATTGCTTAGCAAGGCAAATGTTTAGAACTCTTATCTGCTATCCCTTTCAGCATTTTAGAATATTCCTTTCCAGCCCATCTTATTTTGTGTTCTTTTATATTGTTTATGAGATCTAGAAGCATTCATAGGAATAAATATGTTAGCTTTCTATCCATTATTTTTATATAACTGGGTCTTTAAAGGAGAGATATTAGTTACCGTACCTCTGTATTGTTTGTCTTGGTTTACTTGTTTAAATATTTGTATCAACTGTATACAAACACTTTGATTTATACTGTTACGTTCTCAAAATATTTTTTTAATAGGTGAAAAAGTACATATGCTTTTCCTTATTCTATTTTGATGATCAGACTTAAATTCAGTACATTAGCTTAACTTGAGTCACAGTAAAAAATAATGTATTAAATATCAGAAACACTTGGGAATTTATTTACATGCATAATCTTTACAGGAAGTGGACAGTCAGCACCCAGCAGCAGTTTAACTTCTCCAAGCCACGTCAATCTTTCTCCAAATACAGTTCCAGACTTTTCTTATTCTAGTAGTGAAGATGAATTTTATGATGCTGATGAATTCTATCAGACTAGTTCATCCCCAAAGAGATGTTTGGAGTAAGTGATAAAAAAGTATGCAGACAATTATTTCCTCCTAAGAATTTGCAAAATGACACATACTGTATATCAGCCCCTGAATCTTTTCCATAATGTATTGTGGATAGCTAACTTTTGTACAGTCTCTATATGTACACAAACAATTTTGGCTCTGAAATTGTCCCTTGCTTATGCATCATTCATATAGTGAAGTAATATTATTGTAGCAATTAACTCCTGGGAAGCATTTGATCAATCTCTCTGTTTTCATTTTCAAGATTGGCTTTTTATCCATGAGCTGTTGTACTTAGTGTATTCCCAGTTCTAAACAATCTAGTATGACTACAGATGTAGAGGGATAGTCTTTTATAAGAAGGCTTCTTAATTTTTTGGATACAAATTGTGTGATTGTTTGTTCGAACTTGCTATACAAATGTAAACTGTTTTTCTTTCGTCTCTGTTCTGTTCCCTAAGCTTACTCTACATATTTAAGTTGGCATATATTTAATCTTTTTTCCAGGTATATACATACAATAGTATGAAAGTTCTTTCAAATTTGATTATATTTCAAATTATCTCAAATATATTCTATATTCAGCTATAAGAATTTTGTATTTTTCCATAGCCCCTCAGGATCTGGAACAATTCTAACACGTAGCAACACTGGGAGTAGCATGAAACGCCCAGATACAGCAGAGTCCCTCAACTCTTCAGTGTCTAATGGGACAAATGATGCTGGTAAGAGAAATTCACAAATTATTTAGGTTCTTAATAACTTCAGTACCAGTTCCAGCATGCTGATATACTGTAGATTTTTTAAATAATTTAAATAAATTTTATTTTCTTCTTGTATTTTTGAAATGTGGCCAGGAAATTATAGGGATGCATTTATTTTTTCCAGATCTTTTTGATCCTCATGATGACAGAGATGATGATGTTGAAGGGGAGTCAGTGGAAGAACACAAAAGTGTTATCATGCACCTATTATCGCAAGTTAGGTTAGGAATGGACCTAACAAAGGTGAGATTCTTTGAATTCTTGGAAATTATTACTCATATAAAAATTAAAATATGAGGCATATTAACTTTTATATGAAATAAAAAGTTTGTATTCAACACCTAGGTAGAACTGACAATTTATGAAATCAGTTTATAAGTGGTTTGTCTATATTTTAAATTGTGTTTTATTGGTTTGAGACCATAAATGAAGTATTTTATTTGGTTTGAGCAAATGCTAATTAAACACAGGATGTCTATAAGGCAGTTATACTGCCTTGAAATTTAACATCACTTTCATTGAAATTAATCTGATTTTGAAATTTGAACTTGCTAAGTTTTCTCTTTCCTCAGGTGGTTCTTCCAACTTTTATTCTGGAAAGAAGGTCACTATTAGAAATGTATGCAGACTTCTTTGCGCATCCGGATTTATTTGTGAGGTATTAAATTTTTGATCATACTCTGGTTTTCTCCCTTATTACCACATGCACATTTGATAATACTTTGTGCTGCATACAAACTTAGTCACATCTGTTTCATTGGTTACACACACACACACACAAACTATTTGCCTTTCTGGTAATCATAGAAACATTTTTTCCATTTGGAATTAAAAATCTTGAGGTAATATTTATATTTAATTTCAAAGTAAAATAATTCTTTTCTGTTTTCTTTAGCATTAGTGACTACAAAGATCCAAAAGATCGTATGATTCAAGTGGTAAAATGGTACCTCTCAGCTTTCCATGCAGGAAGGAAAGGATCTGTTGCAAAAAAACCTTACAATCCCATCTTGGGAGAAACCTTCCGATGCCATTGGTTACTGCCAAGTGCTGAACAAGAAGAAAATACGGTTAGTAAAATAGCTATATATCTGCATGACACTTTCAGCTAAAAGCCATGGAAAGTAGAAGTCTTTGTATCGTATTTGAACAATATAACTGCCAGAAAACAAACCGCAAAAGATGGCTCATAGTCATGGTGAGAGGAACCACTTGGCAATGAAATGATACATTATTATAGAATGCATCCTGTGAATTGTATTTTGTAAACACAGTTCCTACACTTGGTGTTTTTTAAATCTTTTTTTCCTCTATTGAGAATCACCTCTCAATAATTTCCTAATTTGGATTATATTTGAAGTAAGAAAAAATTTGGGTATATAAGCCATTCAACTTTAAATGTGAATTTGTAGGTTTCACATCAAACCATTATATGTTTTATGCCATTTGTTTTCTCATAGTTTTTTCATAGCCATTATCTGGTTTACTGATTATTTATTGGGTTTACATTTAACTTTTTCTTCAAGGAGTTCATTGTAATGTTTGGAGTTGCCATATCCTCAAACTTTATTATGCTAATAATGAAATCATTTAGGCTGAAACATGGTGATCAGTTTATGGTCAGTGTGTTTGATGTCTGAATAGAGATATATGTTGAATAAAATAACATAAATCTAAAACTGACTCTTGGAATTCTTTGCAGTTCATTTCCCTTACCTTAAGCTTTCCCTCATACAGGGTAATAGAGACTGTCAGTAATTTTCCAAGTAGTATTTGATGTAGTATAATTGTAGTGAATTGTAGACTTATTGAAGATTACATTTTCTATATAATGTTTGTATATACTCACAGTGAAGAATGCCCATTCTGACTGTCAGGATAATGTGGATTATAACCTGGATTTGAATTTGCAAATATTTTTCTACTGGGGTCAGTATTTTATTTAGAACTTCACAAACGTGTGTACATCTTATGCTGATTATCGGACCTCAGATCTATTTCAAGCTATTTAGCTCTCATCAGCTAGCCATACCCTTACTGGGATTTGAACCTGGGCTATATTACATACTAGGCAGAACTCTTAGCCATTAGGCCACAGGCTCTTATCCGTTATCACAGGCTCTTATCCGATAACTTATCTAGTTATCAGCGAAGCCAGGGTGAAAGGTATCTATTAGATTTTAGCTGATGAGAGCTAAATAGCTTGAAATAGATCTATACTAGTCTCCCTTTATTTATTTATCAGCATAAGATGTACACACGTTTGTGAAGTTCTAAATAAAATACTGACCCCAGTAGAAAAATATTTGCAAATTCAAATCCAGGTTATAATCCACATTATCCTGACAGTCAGAATGGGCATTCTTCACTGTGAGT